TATTCTGAGCACCTCTGCAAAAACAGTGATAATGTGTGAGTGTGGTGAAAGTGTTGAATGATGATGAAAGTATTTTCTTTTTGGGGATTTTCTTTCTTTTTTGGGTCGCCCTGCCTCGGTGGGAGACGGCCGACTTGTTGAAAAAAAAAAAATATTTTTTTTAACTCAGCAGTTGTCTCCCTCTAAGACAGGGTGGTCAAAAAAGAACAAAACACATTTACCATCATTCATTCAGTCTGTCTTTCCAGACATGTGTTGACATCACAATCAGATTACCATCCAAATGCAACATCCCCACCCTTCCTTCAGAGTGCAGGCATTGCTCTTTCCACCTCCAGGACTCAAGTCTAGCTCACTGGTTTCTCTAAATTCCTTCATAAATGTTATTCGTCCCCACTTCAACAGTATGTTCATTAAAAACCATTGTCTACAATACTCCAACCCTTGGATGTTAAAAGCCCTTAAACTTAACTTCCATTTCCTCATCCCCTCCATTGTTCGGGGAACCCCCCCCACCCTTCCTACCTACCTACCTCAAAACCCTATTCTCCATCCCTAACTTTCTGAAACAATCTCAAGTCATCACCTTTTAATTAACATTGGTGCCCCCCACATCCCTTTTCATTTTTTGGGTTTCAAATTTTTTGCATGATATTCACCCCCAAACATTTCTTTTAAACTATTTCACCCCTCTAGTTGCCTCTTCCTGCGTGTCAAAATCCATCCCTTACACACACAAAAAAATGTTGCTAACTCGCTACACTAACTACATTCCCTTTTTTTCCTCCATAGATAAACTTTTTTTTTTCAGCGATCCCTGAAAAACCACCCCCCTTTTTTCCCTCTTCTTTTCATTTTCCCCTTCTTTCATAGACCCATCTTTGAAATGCCCACCCCCAAAATACCCCAAACCCATTCCTCTATACCCCCCCCCATTTGTATTCATTTGATAATTTTTTGCTACTCTCACACTTTCCCTTTTTTTGTTCATTTTTAATTTCCTTTTTTTATGTACCACCCTCCCAAAAATTCATCGCCCAAACCTTTACAATTTGTTTTCAAATTCCCAAAAAAAACTGTCATCAATTTTTTCCCTAATTTTTTCCATTTTGGCATGATGTAAATACACAGATATTACAGTTCACCACAATGTATATTTGGAAAAATAATTTTTTATATGTAATCAGGAAAAAAATATCCCTGCCCTTTATCCCCAAGGGGAAAACCCCATGGATTTATATGATGTTCAATTTTAAAGATTTTTCAACAGTACAGTAGTGTTTTTTATGTATAGAATGACAAAATTTTAAATAAAAAAAATTTAAGCCTCAGAAATCTGGCTGAAAAAAAAATTCCCTTAAAAAATTTTTAAACCTAATGTTTTATAAAAGCATTGACATTTTTATTTTACTGAGTGCACTCTGTTGCATGTTTTTTTATTGTGGGTACTGCTGTGTATGGAGCTACACAAGGGTCGTTGGAAGAAAATTTTTTATCATTTGGGGGTGGAAGTACATCTAATTTGGAAAACCCCAGTTTTGTGGGCCCTTATCTCCGGTAAATTTCCCAAAAATCCTCCCTGGGGGTCTTGTTTAGGTAAATTTTTTTTCTGTGACTTTCATTTCATATATGTACAAGCAGTACAAACAAACCTTATAATGACATATGTTTTGGGCAGTGGGTAGTTGGAGCATATGATGAAAAGTTTAATCAACAAACTGAAATTATTTTTACAGTATAAATAATTTCAAAATGAGAAAACTATTATTTTAGATAGGTAGGGGTGGGAATTTGTGGCTCATTTTAATGCTTAAAAATTCCCTTATAATAATACGAAGTGGTATGGTTTGTTTGCAAATCGTTCATTTGTTTTCTTGATCATAGGTTTTTTATTCTGAATATTAAATTAGTGTGCTTTGTGATTTAACTTCCTTTATTTTCCAAGTTTTTTGTTGCCAAGCCATTTATCTATGTTTGGGTAGTTGTTGTGGAAAAATTTTTTATTTTCCCAAACATAGCGCCTAAAAGGTGTTTAAAGTGTCGATATGATCAAAAATGTATTTGACAAAGGATAGAACCAAGAGTTCCCCTTTTCGCATTTCCCGCGGATGTGGGGGGTATAGGTCGACCGGGGCCCTGGGGAGGGGGGAGTGTTTTGATGTGGGGGGTGGGAAAGCAGGAACCAGGAAAATTGGGATTCCGGCGGCCTAAGGTTAAAAAGGCTCATTTCAAAAAAGGAAGTGTCGTAACTGTTCCTGGGAAGAGTGAGGGAACGGATTTACGGGACCACCGTAAAAAGGTGGGAAAAAATTACAGGTACGAGCGCCCGCTATATTTTTTTGAGGTACATTGGCGAAATGTCCCTTTTCAATGATGGTAAATAGAAACCTTTTTTTAAAGTTGCATATAAAATTAGAAGATGTTATAAATACAAAAGAGTGTGTAGTATATGAATACTAATTGTTCATTTAACGTGGAAAAGAAAAAGAAGTTTAGAAAGATGAAAATATAATGATACAAAATAAGTAAAGCATGTTATCAAGCGAACTTAAGTCAGGAAACAATAAATAAAACTATTTTAATTTTTAGTTTAACGTTTGGTTTTTAATTAAAATGTGTTTGAAGCACTATGTATGAATGGTAGTAATTATGACTGTAATAGTGAAAATGTGACTGAAGCAAAGTATGTTAGTGAAAAAAAAAATAAATTTAAGCAACAGTAGGGCAAAATGATGATGATAATAGTCCATGGAGAAGAGAAGAACCCTTCCTCCGTCAGTCATATCTGTCATACGAGGTGACTAAAATTAAAAATTTGAAACAAAATTTATTATATAGAAACAATTTAGTGGTATACACAAACATGAATACATCTAGGAATGTACCCCTCACAAATTTCAGGTTCAAATGTATTGTTAATTAACAGATATTGATAATATACATGTATATCAGTTTAAGATTGAAGATATCTACTTTATGGGTGTAGCACTTTTTAGTGAGTATATAATAATGCAGTGGACCCTCGAGTTTCGTGAGCCTTATGCTTCATGAATTTCGACTTTCCGCAACTTTTTTCGTCAAAATATAGCCTTTCAGTTCGTGATTTGCCTCGCAATTCATCCGTCGTATGGAAGGCGTCCGAGTGGCCGTCCAGCGGCCGGGCGTACACAAAGGCTCCCACACAACATTCAGAGAGTTGGTCTGGCATTGTTTCTGGGCGAATGACCATCAGCCCATGCATTCATACGATACATTTCATAATAATCCATTGTTTTTGTGTTTGTAACTGCTATATAAGCCACCATAGGCCCAAAGAAAGCTTCTAGTGCCAGCCCTTTGGTAAAGAAGGTGGTAGAGGGTGGTAGTGATGGTGGTAGAGGGTGGTAGTGATGGTGGTAGAGGGTGGTAGTGATGGTGGTAGAGAGTGGTAGAGGTTGTGATGGTGGTAGAGGTTGTGATGGTGGTAGAGGGTGGTAGTGATGGTGGTAGAGGGTAGAGATGCAAGAGCTCTCTGGACAGTTTTTTTGTGTGACAGGGGTCCAGTGACTTCTCCATCCTCTCAACTCCTCCCGTCTTCCATACACCAACAAGAATCTTTAGTAAGTGTGATGTTATTATTGTTATATATGTACTTGATTTCTCATTCTTTTCTGTATGTAAATCTATATTTAATCTATAAAAAAAAATAATTTTTTTTAATACTTTTGTGTGTCTGGAATGGATTAATGGGATTTACATTATTTCTTATGTGGGAAAATGGTTTTGACATTTGTGAATTCCGACTTTCAGCAGTCTGGAATGGATTAATCACAAAACTCAGGAGTCCACTGTACTATAATAAGCTTCGGGTAATACTGAATAGAAATTTCATGATTGCTTTGAGAGCAAAACCGTTATGAAAAGACCAACAATCAGTTACGTAAATGGGTATGTGTAGCATTTTGGTTGCTTTATTATAGGTTGTTTTTATGCTCACCAGGCATTTTGCTTAGCCTTAATGTATATAACTCTACAGATTGAGGATGTACAGATATAATGTGGAGAGGTGAGGAGCAAGGGCAGGGGCCCAAGAGACTTAATATAGTTGTACAGGTAAAGAAGTAAAGAATAAAAATACAGTACATTGATTTGTAAATAACATTTATTAGGCCATGGCCTTATAATGGGCAGGCCTCATGATAATTCTTTGTTAACATTTTTGTAAATGCTAAAACTTCGACTGTTTTGAGCAATTGTATTGAACATAGTGTTGAGGGAGATTTCTGTGCACTTCCTTGTGTTTATTTGATGGCTAATCTCTCATTATTCCTTTGCCTGAGATGACCATGAGAACTATCATGAATCACACATGCATTGTTGTGGTTATCAATTGTTCAGGCACATTAGTGTTCCTGTGTTGAAACTGGACACATTGGTAGCTTTGGTTTGTGTCATCACCCAGTGGTATTATTAATAATTTCAGTGTAAAATAAATGAATTAAGGCATACTCATCTTTCTTTTCTAGAATTATTATACAGTTTCTTAATATAGGCAGATTTGGACTGCAAATTTACATGAGGCCTGGTCACAGACCAGGCAGTGGGGGCATTGACCCCCAAAACCCTCTCCAGGTATGCTCCAGGTATGCAGATATGCAATACAACCACTGAAAAAATGGTGAACTTCAAAGTGCTTTTGTGATTTCTCGCATTATCAAGAAACTAATAATAATAGAACAGCAGTAGGCTTTAAGCTATGTTTGACAAGTCTCAGACCATCTCACCATCATACAGGGACAGATGAGGTGTCAGATGTTGACCATGAGGTATTATCTCAGCCATATGAGCCTTCTGCTGTTATATTATTTTCACAGTTCCTTGATAATGTGAGAAATCACAAAAGTGCTTGGACATTCACTATTTTTTTCAGTGGTTGTTTTGCATATTGTGATATCACCTGTTTACTGTGATCTTATTGCATATACAGATGAATTTATGAAGTTTGTTTTCTATATCCTCAGGATGTACCCAGAAGAATACAGGGAATCCGTGTATTCTTTCTTGAGCTTGTGTCTCAGTCAGGATGTTCCAGTTGTGGAACAACCCACCTCTGTTGCTGCTGATGAGGGTAAACACAAAAGTGATTAAATATTTATTGAGAAGGTAAAGTATTTTATGTTCTTTTGCCTAAGGTAAAGGTGAAGGAATTATTTAATCTGTAATGGAAAAAACAAGAATTCATGTAAATTTGTAGCTTGCTTTAGTGTAGGAAAGAATAGAGGTCACTTGGGTAGTAGATTGGTACAGTAATATTAAAACAAATAGCATTATTAGCACTATAGGAAGGTGGCTGAAAAAACAAAAAAGGTATAATGTATACCCATTTGATTATTCACAAAGTTACATGTTATTGCTATACTATTCAAATATAATTTGTTTTCACCTTCAAGAAATATCTTGAATATAGTAACTTGTCATTTTCATTGTCACCTGCCTCCTATCATGTGCCTAAATGCTTTATTAAATATTATCAAATATATTTCTGATGTCACTTTTGTCACTTGCTGCAAACACACAATCCTGGTCTTTTCTCTGAATTCTTAGGGTTTTTTTTTTTTTTTTTTAGTTTCATATCCACTAAGCTGCTGCTTATATTGAGAGTAGGGTGGACGTATATACACTGCTAGCTTCTTATTACAGAAAAGATAGGCTCTTAAGAGGCAGAACTATGAAATAAGTGAAACCATACAAATCTATAGACTTAGTGTAAATTATCTTGCACATTAAAATTGTCACTTTATTCTCTTTATTTTAAGATGTTCTTTCTTCTTTCAACATACCAGCCGTATCCCACCGAGGCGGGGTGGCCCAAAAGAAAAAACTAAAGTTTCTCTTTTTAAATTTAGTAATATATACAGGAGAAGGGGTTACTAGCCCCTTGCTCCCGGCATTTTAGTTGCCTCTTACAACACGCATGGCTTACGGAGGAAGAATTCTGTTCCACTTCCCCATGGAGGTTTTAAGATGTATTAGTATATTTTAATATTTCGGTTTATTGGCCTATTTTCATATTACTGTATTAGTAAATATTACAATCTGTTGTATTCATGTTACAGTCAACTGGATTTATACACACAGTTCTTTTGCAGCAATTTTGTCACTTATGTATTTGCCCATATAGTATGTTCAGTTCGTGGTTTGCCTGAAGAACTGATTTTTTTTTTTTTTTAAATAGTATATGCTCTAGTTGGTTTTTGATATGACTGGCTTGTATTTACTGACATGTACAAGCTTGTGTGTGCAGAATACATCTCTTCCATTTCTTCTTAAATGATGTTAATTTTTTTACTTGAATTTTATGCATATTACTTGAAATTTAGGAGAGCCATTGCATGTGCTAATGGAAAAGAAAGCTTTGACAACAAATTATAGGATAAAGAGTTGGCAGTGTACATACAAGTCTTGTCCAAATGAATTTTGATTTCAGTGTTTGTTGGATTTGAAGCTTTTCTGTCAACACAGTTTTGTGTCTGTTTCAAATGCTATAAAATATTCTGGGAGTAATTATTTTTAATAAATTAATTTTATTACTACTAAATCTTTATTCCAGTATGTGTAGTGATAAGGGTACTGTAATAAAAATCCCCTTTGACTACATGTAGGTAGACACTTCTGTGGGAATCATTCGCACTTACAAGTACAGTACTATACAGGTGGGCCCCACTTATACAGCAGGTTAGGTTCTGGGCTACCCCTGTAAAGCAAAAATTGCTGTAAAGTGAATCATAGCCTTTTTCTTTTCTTTCAAATGCATACAGAAGCCTGATAACATCATTACTATTATATATTAAGTGGGCACTATAGCTAGGCCTAAAAAATGCATATACAGTACATACATTACTTGCCTTAAAATATTTTCATCCTTAGCTTATGAGTGATGAATATATTTATTGAAGAAAGTCTGAATAAATGAAGAATGGGTATAATTAAAAACTGCTACATTAGTGAAATGCTGTAAAACAGGACCTATCTGTATAGAGAAGAAAATTTATCGATTCATTGTATACCCTAGTGGGGTTAGACATTTTTACCACCTGGGACAGAGTTGTGTTTAATGGGTCATAGTGCATGTGTTCACTAGCTGCTGCCGATTGTGATAATGTTTTAGAATGTAAAGAAATGTTGAAATCACAAAATTAATTATATGAAGGAAGATATCTGCTGTATATCTTCAAAGTGGAAAAAAACGTGCATGCTCAAACTAACCTCTAATGACATTATAATTAAATTGTGCAGATGGTAATCTGTATTCATATGAATTCATGGCTGAGTTGTGGTTTACAAAAGATGCCAATATTTACCTACTCTGCTCACTAATATGTCTGTCTGTATTTATACCATGCTAGCATCAGAAGACCTGCTATTGTCTTTTATCCCTGTTTGAATCCATTTCCTTCTCTAGGTTGTACTGCATATCTATACTGATGAAATGACAAGGCTATTTGCTCGGGTAATTTTACATCTTATTTGTCTTGCATAATGCAGCTGTTGAATTTGGTGTCAAATATTTAAGCCAACAAGAACACCAAATGCATAGAAGAAATAGCAGCTTGATTTGTAAAAAAACTTAGCATTTTCTTTGCTACTGATATGAAATTAAGTGAAATATCTTTATAGTCAAGTAGCTTATGCTTAAAAGAAGGTTTTAATTTCATTTTGTTGGCTGTCAACTTTATTTTATCCTTCATTTTACCCCTATTTTGCAAAAAAAAAATTGTGTAGAAGTTTTCAAACATGTATTCCCTCCAAATTTTTAAGGAAGCAATTTTCTAAAGGAAAATTTTGGTGTATAAAGTTATATTTTTTAAGATTTAGGTTTCTGCACTGTCTTCATATTTTTGAGTAATGTGTGAAGGCAGAGAAGTTTGCTTAAATATTAAAAATCTGCACAGTGCTTATGTGTCATTTACCTATTTTAGTAAAATTAACATTGAAAGCATATGTGTGTTGTAATATATTAAAACCTTGATTTAACAGATATTGGAAATACGTGGCAAAATCCACTGGGTCACTTGATTTCAAAACAACAAAGTCCATTGTTTACAGAACTGTCTGTTATTGTTATAATTATAACAAAAGTCTCTATCTACCACAATTGCCATTACCTGCTGTTCTCTATAAGTCCATTAAGTCAAGGGTTATTGTATCTACTTTATGAAATATACATTACTCGGGTGTATATACAGTGGAACCTTGGTTTTCGTATGCCCTGGTTTTTGTAGGATTTGGTTTTCAGTGACTTTTTCGTCGAAATTTTGTCCCAGTTTTTGTACATCGGCTTGGTTTTCATAGAGTTGACAATGGTCTACCGTACCAAACGTGTCCGCCTGCCTGCACCCACACAGAATGTGCCCTTGAGAAGGATTTTGAAGGGTTTGAGGCTGACCCTGACAACCCTATGCCTATTGTGGAATATAGTGTCTTTGGGGAAGTCCATGGGGTTGGATGTGAGTGGCCAGGATGTGGAAGAGTTGGTGGACTACCACAAGGAAGAGCTAACCACTGAAGAGCTACAAGACCTTCAACTGGAACAGCAACAGACCACAGCTGAGGAAATTGCTTCAGAGGAGGAGGAAGAGAGGGGGAAGAATGTGCCTTCTTCAGTGATTAAGGAGATGTGTGGAATGAGTTGCAAAGTTTTGTGGAGAAATATCACCCCAACAAAGCTGTTGCAAGTCGTGTCTGCAACATGTTCAATGACATTGCCTTGTCCCATTTTAGGCAAATCTTAGAGACTCCAGAAACAGACCTCTCTGGACAGATTTTTTGTACGACAGGGGTCCAGTGATTCTCAAGCTGGTCCTAGTGCCAGTAAAAGACAAAGCAGGGAAGTAACCCCAGATAGGGCCTTGATACCTGAAGTCCTTATAGAGGGGGATTCCCCTTCCAAACACTAACCTCTCCTCCCTCTCCCCTCCTCGCTGTCTTTCATATGCCAACAAGTCGTCAATAAAGGTAAAAGTGATGTTAAATGTTCATTTATCCATTTCGATAGTCATTTATATTTTTTATTTTTTGTATGTAAAACTATAGTCATTCTCTATAAAATGTATTTTTCGTTAGTATTTTTGGGTGTCTGGAACTGATTGATTGGATTTACATTATTTCTTATGGAATATCCTAGGATATCCCTCATCCCTCCTTCCTTCCACCCCAGATTAATACACACTCCTATGCTGCTCCATCCTTTCTTAAATGCTCAAACTGTCAACACCCTCCTTTCCCTCCTCAGCCTCTTGAATTATACCTTTGGTAATCCCACTCCATCTTCTACTTTCTATACATAATATTCACATCACATATTGCTCTCAAACACACATGACATCCTCACAGCCTCCAGCCTCCTCCTTGCTGCAACATTTAAAGCCCATGCCTCACACCCTTATGAAAGTGTTGGTTCTCTTTATACAACATCCATTTTGGAGTATATGCAGCACCTGAGAAAGCATGTTAAGAAATTGGAAAAAGTGCAGAAGTATGCAACAAGGTTTGTTCCACAGCTAAGGGGTATGAGCTACAAGAAGAGGCTGATGACTTCCAACTACGTTGGAGGACAGAACCACCAGGGAAGACATAATTTGCAAAATACTTTGGAAACTGATAGGGTAGACAAGGACCAGCTGAAAGATAAGAAACAGATGAGCCACAGGGATATTAGTAAGTGGTCAGGAAGTGGAACTATCACCAAGAAGTGGTGGAGGAAGGCTTCATATGTAGTTTTAAGAGGAGGTATGATACCAACCACATGGCTAGGGAGTCAATCTGGCAAATGGCAAGTTGAGAGGTGGCTAGGAGCTGAGACTTGACCTCTGCAACCACAAATAGGTGAGTATGTGCCCTTTAATTTTTGTGGCTCCTTAGATAAATTTCTCTTTCCACAGATGCCTCAACACACCACCTATCTTTATTCTTCCTTGTCCATTCTGTGGTTCACCTCTTTCATAGACCCTTCTGCCAACATGTCCATTCCCAGATATCTTAATACATTCACTTCCTCCATACTCCCTCCCTCCATCTGATATCCAGTCTTTAATTGTCTATGCTTCTTGTTATTCTCATTACCTTGCACTTTTGCCAGATTCCTCTCCCAACCTTTTCAACCTATCTCAAGAATTTCCCAGAACTGTGCCATCAGCAGAGAGCTACTGTGATAACTCTCATGCATTAGATTCATTATCACATAATCCCACACCTCTCCTTAACTTAGAATCATTAAACCTGGAAGATCAACTACTATTACCTTTCATGATGGAATTGTTCCTGATGTCATATCTGTTGAATCCTTGATAATGTTGGCCTGGATGCTAAATCTCCACACTATCTTATTAGCTAACTTAATATTACTTAAGTATATCTACTACTGGATTTTCTTTGATGTTCTTGAATACTTCTGTATCATCAGTGCCATAGAATTAGATGTTTGTTTGGCTATCATAAAGGTGAATTAATTGCCACCTCATATCACTGAGAAACAAGACTGTGGGAAGGAAATACACTTGCCCTCAGAGCACATATAGCATATGACAGGAACAAGTCAGCAAAAAGAAGATAAAGAATTTGTGTGGCATTGATGGACCAGCAGTCATCCAAATGGCATTGGTGTGTGTGTACACCTAAAGAAAAGAACTGCCCTGTGATTAATGACAAGGTAATACTTTTATTTTTGCCATTGGTAGTATGGTACTTCCTACCTTCAAGGGAGGCTCTTTGATGCCAGTGAGGGACTTGTTATCCAAGGAACTGAACCTGACTTCTTTGGATCAAACCTGATTGTATGCGATTTACCCCAGGTGTTTTATGATCCTTACCTCTTCAAGGGGGGCTCCTTGGCGTGGTGAAGAGGCTCTTGGTCTGAGGAATTAGCCCTGTCGGTCTTCTTCCTCAGACCGAACCTAATTACCCCCCATTCTCCCCTTCCCTATCCCATCCTCCCCTTTTTCCATTCCTCCTCCTCCTCCCCACCCCTCCCTTTTGCCCTTCCTCTTTTTGGCCTTTGGGATTTCTCCCACAGGCGCGCTAGTTCCTAGGTAGGGGAAAGGACACCGGGGTCCATCCCATTCCGTTGAGGTTCTTGGCGGTGGGTAGTTTGCTGGGAATCTGGATTGCCTGGGGATGTCCCGATCCCCTCTCCGGTATCCCGGAGTACTTTGATGCCCTTTCGGGCGAGGGGTGTATCTCTGGAAGCCACCTTTGGGATTCCGGGGGTGGGTGGCCGAAGGAGGTATGCTTTGTGGCGATATCCAGCCGCCCTCTCTTTTGTCCACCGAGGTAGCTCGCAGATGTGAGGTTGCATCCCGGATTGCTGGTTACTGGCATGAAGGGTAGAGTATGGAAACGGGTTCCATGCTTGCATGCGCAAATAGCGGTGCTGAGGTCTTTGGGCGCGGAGGGAGATTTCCGGCCCTTTCATTCTTCCTGGAACATTTAAAAAATTTTTTAATTTTTTTATTTTATTTTTCTTTTCTTCTTTTTTTTTTTCTTAAAAAAAAAAAGCAAAGGAAAGTAACCTAACCATGGCAGCCCTAGGCCGAAACCACTACCCCCGGGCCCCTTTTTGATAAACCGCACCCCATTCGACCCGCCTTGTGTTTAGACCACTCTTGGGCCACTCCTGATCCCCTGTACCTCTTGCTGGTGCTGTTCCTCACCCACTTCAGTACGGGGCTTCGCTGACTCCTTCGATTTGTCTGAACTCCCGCTCTCCTTTGACTATGCTCCGCTTCTCCCTCTAAGTACGGCAATTTTCGAATCTGCCCGCCCATTTCACGCTGGACCAACTCCGGTCCTACTCCTAAACGCCAACGTCAATCCCTGATGATGCCCCTTCGTTACCTTCCCATTCTATCTAAAAGACCGACACTCAAGCACCCCTCTCCCGCTCATTTTCGGACCACAAAATGGGACTAAATTCTTTACTTTAAAGACGACTTCTTCTTCTGCCACCTTCTGACCATAGTAATGGGCAAAGTGCTCCTGCGAAATGTTGTAGAGGATTTCATTTCATGCTTCAAAGCGTAATGCGCATCGTACTGCCAGAAGCTACCAAGCTCATAAAACTTTCTCTCCTTTCGAATATCGAACTAACCTATCACTATTGAAAACATCTTTCTCTAAATCTTGTAGTGGTACTGTCATCTGCCCCATACCATGTCAAACAGAATTTCCAGTCAGGGGGCAATGAATTTTTGAACGGGGCTGGAACTCCAGGATCTCCCAATCCTCAAAGTAGACACTTAGGTCCTTCCTGCCCGGGGCGGAGACGTTACCCTTGCAATTGGCTCGTTTAACTTTTGACAGCTGAGAACTCCTGTCCTCTGTAAAGTCCGGGACATGGGTTACAAGTTCGAAAGGGTATACCTACACCGCAACAATGTAGAAATTGCTGGCGTTTTGGTCACCCAGCGAAATATTGCAGATCTATGGCCGAATGCCCAGTCTGTGGTGCCGACGACCATTCTAATACATCTTGCAGTCAACCTCCATCTTGCCTTAATTGTAATGAAGCTCACCCTTTGTACTCCCGCCGTTGCCAGGTCTACTTAAATGAACGTGAAATCCGTTGCCTCAAAGAGGCAGAAGGTCTCCCTTATGCTATGGCAGTTACTCATCTCCGCCTCCAAGGGAGACTACCCCGTGTTTCTTATTCTCGTGTTTCCAAACATCCCCCACTTCTGGGGTCCCATCTTCCTGCAGCCTCCTCTGTTGTTACCCCTCCCATAGCCACTACGGCATCTAATCCTTTTGCTGTCCTTGGCTCTGACATCCCGACTACAACTCAGTCTGTTCTCACATCTTCGTGTCCTTCCTCACAAGCCCCAGTATCGACAAGACCTCGTACGACACCTAATACCAATCGCCCCTCTACTCAGAAGTCCAAAAAATCCACATTGCTC